ATATATATATATATATATATATATATATATATATATATATATATATATATATAAAATAACTGAGCAACTACGCGCGCTCTCATTGGTCGATAGGTGTGTTTAGATGAGAGTATGACGTTTAAGATTCAAGCGTATTTTTGAGAATTATTTTAGAAAAGCAATAGAGCATTTTGTCCATGTTTACCTAGCCTCATCTAAGCATTCGGGGGCTTGGGAGAATTCTGTAAACATAACTTGAGAGCTTGACAAAAAGCATAAATTAGAATTGTATAAGAAGTAAGGTTTATATATATATATTTTTTCAGTGATCAGCGAAAAAAAAAGCGATTTGAACTTTGCTCGAAAAGTTCTTCACATTTTATTCGCCATTGCTCGCTTTTCTCAGTACTCCAAGGGTGCTTTCCATTATGCCAAAGATTCCAGACGTTTCGGTCGGAATTCAAATGGAAAGGTCCGTTTCAGATTCTTCCGCCCGGAATATTCGGGATCACCTCTGGAGGTGGTCCATTATTTCGGTCGGAATATTCCTACCGAAATTCGCCGTCAGGTTCCATTTTTGACAAACTGGCTCTTTGCCCTAATTACGGAAATGGGAAGAGCCATTCCTATTGGTTGGCACGGTTTAATCGCAAAAAGTCGTTCCATTTTCCACGGGTAATCACACTGATCTCTGACCGGTCGGTTTGGCATAATGGAAGCACCCCAATGCTGTCGCGTGCTAGTCGAAATTAATTTCCGGCCGTGTTGCGAGCCCGCGCTCCTTGTTCGACAACAACCGGAATGTTTGGCGATCAAACATTGTTTAGTGACCAAACATTTTCCCGTTTTGACACCTTGTTTGATCGTGCTGGATGGTGTTTGATCGCGATTAATAAAATTTGAGCCACGTCAGACATTTGATCAAACATTGTTAAGTTCGGTCCAAACGGGAAATGTTTGGCGATCAAACACGATCAAACATTGTTTGGTGATCAAACATGTTCTCTTGTGGACACCTTGTTTGATTGTGTTGGATCGTGTTCGATAAACATTTGATCAGCATGTTTGCTCACCAAACAATGCTTCATCGTGTTTGGTCGCCAAACACTTCCGGTTTAGACAGGGCTTAAAACATTTTGTTCGTTCAATGTTTGATACCGCTTGGCCACTCAATTTAACAACAGCATGGTTGGTCACTAAACATTGTTTGATCGTGCAAGTCAGAATGCAAGTTTTGTTCTCAGAACGCTTTCATGAACTGCCTTCTGCCCGTAACTACGATTGAAGTGCGGTAAATTATTTCTTCGAGCTTAAAGTGAGACCTACAATTGTTAGCAGTTGAGTGGTTTACCAAATTAACCAAAGTGCAAATTTATTTTTCCTCCACAAAGAGTCATTATATAACAAAAGACACAAAGCT